CTCAGAGGGTAAAGAAAGAATGATCAGGAAGGGTGGTTTTTATTAACCCCATTCATACAAGTACTTACTAAATGTTTGTTGTGTCTGCTGCTGGTCCTGAGGGCAAAGCTTAGAATAGAGTGATCTGTCCCTTCTAGAACTTCTATTTCAAATGCCAATTATGAAGTAATAATATAGATGGGGGGGTCTGCCCCTGCCTTGACACACAGCTCCTATGTCCCATGGAAATATCACTTGTTCTAAGTGAGATGTTTGATGACTTTTTTTTTTTAATTTGAAATAAGATCTCGCTATGTAGTCCTGGCTGGTCTGGAACTCTCTTTGTAGATCAGACTGGCCTCACTAGTAGAAATCCACCTGCCTCTGCCACAAATGCTAGGGTTAAAGGTGTGTATTATCACACCTAGTCCTGATGACTTGAACTCCTAGCTGGGAACTAGTCACCAAAAATGACAAAATCATGCTTAGAAGCCTTACGCTTATTTTTCTCTTTTGATATTTATTATTTTACCTGTATACACATGAGTTTACATGCACCTCGTATGTGCAGAGACCCAAGAGGCCAGAAGAGGGAATTAGAGTCCCCAGAAACTAGAACTATTAGGGAACCAAAACTGGGTCTTCTGCAAGAGCAGTAATGCTCTTAAACATTGAGTCATCTCTCCAGCCCTGTAACTTGGCACTTTTATACCCCTCCGTATTCCAGGAGGAACTGTTGTGTGCTAACTTTCTGTAAGATACATTAGCTGAGCTAGGTCACAGGGAGAACCCCTCTTGGTATGTGCAAAGTGGTTCTGCTTTTTAAATGCCTGCGCACACTGTTTAATGATGTGATATAAACCTGCTTTGTGTGTGTCAGGTGTTGGTGGATCTTTATTAACAGAACATTAATTTAAAACCTTTTTAAAATTTGTGTTACATGCCGCATATGTGGAGGTCAGTGAGCAACTTTTGGAAACTGGTTCTCTTGTTCCACTGTGGGTTCCAGGGATCACATTGAACTTGGGTTTTTTTTGTCATTGTTGTTGTTGTTTGTTTGTTTGTTTGTTTTGGGTTTTTTTTTCACCTCTGAGACATCTCGCCTGCCCTAATTTTTAAAAACTTTTCAAAGTCCAAACTTCATATATCATTTATTTATTATTTTTATTATTAACTTATGTATGTTAGGCACATGTCTTGCCACCATCTGCATTCTCTACATGACGGCCATATGCATGTTTTCTTTTCTTTTTGTAATTTTTCAGGGGTTTGATTCGGAGGTTTTGTTGTTGTTTTTATTTTCTCTGTGTAGCCTTGGATGTTCTGGAACTTGCTCTGTAGACCAGGCCAGCCTCAAACTTAGAGATCTGCCTATCACTGCCCAGCTCTCTTTTTATGATTTTTAAAAATACGTTTACTTGTTTGGTTGGGGCTATGGGACATAAATAACACATGTGGAGGGCAGAGGACAAGTTCTCTCCTTTACCATATGAGTCCCAAATGTGTGTGTGTGTGTGTGTGTTTGTGTCTGTCGCTCTGCTGTTTTCTTTTAGGAGCAGCATCTTTTTGGGTTATCCAGACTGGCCTCAGACTTTATCTTTTTGCCTCAGTCTCTCAAGTACTGGGATTATGGTCTCTACTGCTCCTGGGTGTATGTCACTGTTCTTGATTTAAAGATTAGAACCATCACAGTGTATGTCTTAGTCATTTTCCTTTGCTGTGATAAACACCATGACCAAGGCAGCTTATAAAGTTTATTTTGACTTATACTTCCTGAGGGAGGGTCCATGGCAGCCAGTGGCAGAGCAGGAACATGGTCATATTTTCATCCACACACAGGAAGCAGAATGAGTGAACAAGAAGGGGGGCAAGGTTATAAATCCTGCAAACTCACCTTCAGGACTGTACTTCCTCCAGCAAGGCTACACCTCCAAGGTTTTATAACTCCTCAAACAGCACCACCCAGTGGGGACCAAGTGTTCATGTATATGGGCCCGTGTGATATGGGATTACCTTCTGTATTCTGTGCATATGTTTTATTGCATTGGTTAATAAAGAAGCTGCTTTGTCCTATGGCAGGGCAGAGTAGAACTAGGCAGGAAAACTAAAGTGAATGCAGGGAGAAAAAGTGGAGTCAGGAAGGCACCACATAGCTGCCCAAGGAGAAAGACACTAGAACCTTACTCTGGTAAGCCACAGTCTCTTAGATACATTTTACATGTGAAAGGACTGGAAAGACTGTGTGCTTTCTTTCCTAGGTTGACAAAGATGCCGAGCTGGTGGCCCAGTGGAACTATTGTACTCTAAGTCAGGAAATCCTGAGGCGCCCAATCGTTGCCTGTGAACTTGGCAGGTATGGATCCTTTACTTAGTCAAGATGAATTGATTCTGTTGATTTTTGATGAGAAGTTAAGGCACTTGATTGATGGACTATGAACTCTCCTAAGCAGATATGTGGGGAAGATGGCCTGCATCTGGACATAGCTCTGCACCTTCCTCCTCAACTTGGTTTACACTCAGGAGCCATAGTAACTGCTTAGATATAAACCTGAAGCAGCCATGACAGCCATAGAGAGCAGCAGGGAGTCGGAGAACTGGAGAGGGCATGACCTGCCTAAAGGGGGTAGGGATGGGGCTGCTACTCACTTCTAGCCGCTTCTTATAACTGAAGAATGTGGGCCTGGTGGTCGTAAATCTTCTGATATTTATTTTTGAAGAACAGGAAAAGTAAGGACTTTCACACTGATTCTTCCAAGTCTTGATGTCCTTGTTTAGGTGTAGTTGAGCCTGGCAGTCTGCCTCCTTAACTTAAAGTTGCTGCTGGGTGTGCTCTGCTCTGCGGCAATTGAAGCAGGGTTACACCTGCTCAGTGTGCTCTGCGGCAGTTGAAGCAGGGTTACACCTGCTCGGTGTGCTCTGCAGCAGTTGAAGCAGGGTTACACCTGCTCAGTGTGCTCTGCAGCAGTTGAAGCAGGGTTACACCTGCTCAGTGTGCTCTGCGGCAGTTGAAGCGGGGTTACACCTGCTCAGTGTGCTCTGCGGCAGTTGAAGCGGGGTTACACCTGCTCAGTGTGCTCTGCGGCAGTTGAAGTGGGGTGACACCCGCTCGGTGTGCTCTGCAGCAGTTGAAGCGGGGTTACACCTGCTCGGTGTGCTCTGCAGCAGTTGAAGTGGGGTTACACCTGTCTTTAGCAGCACAGGATGTTGTTAGCAATGTGGGTGACTTTAGTCATGTTGAGTTCTCCGTTTGGTTATCTGAAATCACTGCTGTTGTATAAACTGATCCTTACTCTTGTAGACTGTATAACAAAGATGCTGTCATCGAGTTCCTGTTGGACAAATCTGCTGAAAAGGCTCTGGGGAAGGCAGCATCACACATTCGAAGCATCAAGGTAGGACAAGGGACATGGGTGAGCTCCAAGGGCCTCGGTGAGTGAGGTCACTGTTACAGGATTTGTGTATGATAGAGGTGGCTCAGTGCGGGGAAGCACTTGCCGCTTGCCTGATGGTGCAAACCTAGAACCCGATTTCCGTCCCTGGGACCCACATGGTGGAAGGAGAGAAACAACCCAATAGGTTGGCCTCTGACCTCCCCGGGTGTGCTGTAATGGGTGTGTGTAAGCACCTGTGTACACACACACACTAAAGTAAATACATGAATAAGCACATAAAATTCCTTTTTAAAAACTGGATTTGGGACCTGGGAAGATTGACTAATTGGTAAAAAGCTTGACAGACAAGCATGAGGACTTGAGTTCAAATCTCCAGCACTCAGATAAAAAGCGAGATTTGGTGACGTGTGCCTGTGATCTTGACGCTAGGAGGCTCTCAGCCTCACTGGACAGTTGGTCTGGCTGTGTTGTCGAGCTCCAGGCTCACTTAGACTTTCTGAGAAAATAAGCTGGAGAGATAGGGGAAGACGCCTGAGCAGAATGCAGTGGCTCATGCCAATAGGATATGCTGAAGAGGTGGAGGCAGGAGAATCACCAGGAAGACAGCTGACAGTGACCAGGCCAGAGCCTCACACACACATGCACATGAGCACATGCATGTGTATACACCACACATATAACAAATAAGCATGGAAAGATTACATACCTAATGATGAAATGGTCTCTGTCTTAGACTCATGCAGCTTACAATTCTTTTCTTTCTGGTGCTGCCAAAATGATGAGCATTCCTTAGAAGTCACTTCTCCTGGGCCAGGATGGCCGTACAGCTGACCCGCAGAGCCCTGTGGGCCAAGTGCACACTCCTCCTCCCAGGTCAGGATGGCCGTACAGCTGACCCGCAGAGCCCTGTGGGCCAAGTGCACACTCCTCCTCCCAGGTCAGGATGGCCGTACAGCTGACCTATAGAGCCCTGTGGGTCAAGTGCACACTCCTCCTCCCGGGCCAGGGCGGCCATGTTGCTGACCCGCAGAGCCCTGTGGGTCAGGTGCACTGACTGAGTTCATCTCATCAGCGTTATTCATGGTTCTCCACAGAATGTGACAGAACTCAGGCTTTCTGACAATCCCGCCTGGGAAGGGGATAAAGGAAACACCAAGGGTGACAAACATGATGACCTCCAGCGAGCACGGTTCATCTGCCCTGTGGTGGGCTTGGAGATGAATGGCCGGCACAGGTGAGTAGTGACGGGATGGGTAAAATGACCCTAGTCTCGTTGGGATTTCTCTGTGCTCTCCTAGGGCTGGAGTAGGGCCTTGTGAGAAATAGTGCCCAGTCACGGTGGGCTCCTTCCCCAGCAGCCATCTGTCACTCTGCCCACCCTGCTCAGCTCCATGCCTCTGCTCAGCTCCGTGGCCCTGCTCTATGCTGTGGCCTTGCTCGGCTCCATGTTCTATGTTGTGGCCCTGCTCTGTGCCCTGGTCGGGTACTGCATGTCCACTGGTCTTAGTGCTGGCTCAAGTTGCTCTTCCTTGGTCTCTTTCCAGGTTTTGCTTCCTTCGATGCTGTGGCTGTGTGTTTTCTGAACGCGCATTGAAAGAGATAAAAGCTGAAGTTTGCCACACGGTGAGTTCCCACCATACTCCATTTGTTCCTTCTTGACCGCTGAGGGAGTGGCTTCAGCGTGTCCCCCACTGTCATTTCAGTCCTGAGATCTTTGTCAAAGCATCTAACATGTCTGAGTCTCCTCATCTTCCATGGCTCTTCACTGTTGCAGGTCCAGACTCGCACACACTTCACACCCTGGCCATCTTCTGGGCCCAGTTCTTCTCCAGACTGCCAGCCTGGAGGGCCATGTTCCATCTCCGCCCCATGTGCTCTGCAGATCCTTCTTGCCAGTCCTCATCACTGAGTACCGTGTTACCCCTTGGTCTCATCATCACAGAATTGTGCATGTGTGTGTCAGACTCCCAGCTGGACCGTGTGCTTTTGAGGGCAGGAGACAAGGTGTGCTGTCCCTTGATCTCCAGGCCATGTCACCAGTACGTGAGCACATAAGGAATGTTCCTCCATATCGTCCTTGCCCATCCAAAGGAAAGTGTGATGACGTGGCGCTTGCAGGTGGTACTGCCCTGAGCCTTGCCTTCTTTGGGTTCCTCTGGTGTTTATCTGCCTGACATTTAGTGTAATGTAGATAGAAACCACGCATGACTCTGTTCAGTGAGTGTAGTATGCTTAGGCCTGTCATGGATTGCACCCTCTGTTGGTGGCTTTTCGTGAGCAATTGTCATGGCAGTTCCTGTCCTAGCCTTTTACTGGTGGGGTGTCCTGAGGAAAAGACCCACCAAAGTCCTGCTCCCGGGGAGCCCTCTCCTGCCGGGAGACCCTCATGGAAGGCTCCATAGTCAGGGGAGAGTGTTGACCTTAGCAGTGGGCAGTGGCGACGTCCTGAAGCTTTGAATTCAGCTAAAGCGCACAACGGCACTAGCAAAGCCTGGGCAGGGCACGCTCCACGAAAGAGCCGGAGTGGTTTCTCTTCTGCAGCGTTCCTAAAGCTGATGGGTGACCAAGTCGGGGGTGTGGACTGTGGCTGACTTGTCCAGAGCATGTGCAAATGTCACATAGGGCTTCCCTTTTTAAAAGTGATGTCCTTGGGAGTTAACTGCCTAATGTAGCTGGTGGCATGTATGAGTCTCCTGGTGAGGGCGGTGACACAGGTGCTGCCTGGGAAGTAAGATCTGAATGACCGTGACTGGAGACGGTGCATCATGTGCTTCCGGCTTGGACTTCAGCAGTGGGGCAAAGCACAGTTTAATCTGCAAGACTGTAGAAGTTGGAGCATCCAGGGCACTGGACAGGCCACAGCACGCGAGGCAGGAATCTCGTTTATCCCCTCCCATCCTTGTCTGCCTCTCGCTGTTAGAAACTGACTGCTGAGACCTGGTTCTTCAGAAAGAATAGAAATTTACTTGACATTCTGGAGGCTGGGAAGTCCAAGCAAGGTGGTGCCAGTGTCCAGCAAGGGCACCGTATTCCATGGTTTAAAGTGGAGGCTGGTGACCTGGGTCTGTGCGTGACAGGGTCAGGCATTGGACCATCATCAGCAAGCTTGGGCTCAAATGTTGGTGAGCATCAAGTGTAAACAAAGCTCCCTTCCTGCTAACAGGAGTCCTCTCTGTCTGTGGAGCGCCCTCCCCCTCAGTGCTTCTCAACACGGTCCCCTCCCCGCTACCCTCTGTCAGATCCTCTGTCTGAATTAAGTGTAGTTATATTCCAGTGTGGTTATGCTCCAGTGTGGTTATGCCCCAGTGTGGTTATGCCCCAGTGTGGTTATGCCCCAGTGTGGTTATGCTCTAGTGTGGTAAGAAAACTTATCCTGTATAAGGACATCCTCATGACATCAGCATTGATTACTTCATGGGGCTGTGTGATCCAGGCACCCACCTCCCAGGACTGCCACCCAGGAACTTCGAGGACACATCCCTGTGGTGTGTCAGTGTTGAGAGCCTGGCATGGAGCAGTTTAGTCTGGGAAAACAGCATCTGTCTAGGCCCCAGACTTCAGTATTTAAAGTTAAGGGGTCATAAGGACTTAGAGTCTTTCCTTTTAGATCCAAACATTCTAAACAAGAACATTTTAAGTAAAGCAATAAATAGAGTCAGGTGTTATCAGGGATCAAACTCCAATAGAAGGTTTGGCTCACTGTGGAAACCCTCCTTAGGTGCCAAGTGCCCAGCAGAGAATCCCGGCTAGACAGTTTCTTCCTTCCCATTCCATGGCTCGATGAGAAGGAGGGAGAACCTCTCTTGGGAAGTTTTGTTTTTTGTTGTTGTTGTTGTTTTCGTTTTGGTGTTTTTGAGATGGGGTTTCTCTGTGTAACTTTGGAACCTGTCCTGGAACTCACTCTGTAGACCAGGCTGGCCTCAAACTTGCATAGACCCGCCAGCCTCTGCCTCTGCCAAGATTAAAGGCTAGACCACCACCGCCCTGGTTTCAGGAAGTTTACAGGTCAGACCTGCAGATTGTACCTGGAGCCACTCACATTCCACTGGCTAGAACCCAGTCACGTAACCACCCCTCAAGGAGCCTGGGAAAAGGAGCCTGGCTGGGTGTGTAGGATGACTGGCCAGTGCTGGCCCTTTCTGCAGAAATCTGCCCTGTGCAGAGATGACACAGCATCTGCAGTGACAGGTGTCGTGATGAGGGAGGGGAGATGAAGCCACGGGGTCAAGACCAAAGAATTGTCAGGTTTTAGGCGCTGTCTGAAATCTCTAAGTCACTAAACTAAGAGCAAGGATAAAGGCCTCTGTGGCAGGAGGGCAGCTTGATCCTGCTTGTCGGCCTGGGGATGCCCTGAGATTTGTCCTTTTGTCTCCACAACTGGCTGCAACTCACACACATGTGCACACACACAGTACACACAGTAATAGTAAAACAATTCAAACAGGCAGAGGCTCCAACTCACTTGGGTCACTCTGTGTACCATGGTGTGTACTTTGCCGTCAGAGAAGAGGACCCAGAGAGGTGAAGGTGCTGTGGTTTGGTTTCTCCAATAATCAGGTGACTGGCCAAAACACCAGGTGAGTTCCTCCGTGTCTTGTAATAAGAAACATTGCCAAGAGGTCAAGGGTATCTTAACATTTTCAGTGCGCAGTAGGGAAAAATATTCGCTGTAACTGACTGCTTCTGTCTTACTTACTTTGCTTAAAGTTGACTTAGATCTACATTAAGATCTCTTCACTCTGCTCGGCTTTCCAGGCCGCATGACTGGATGTCACCTCATCTCGTGTGGGAAAGCCTCAGGTGACAGAGGTCTTTATAGTGTGTGGTAGTTTCCTTTCTAGGGCTCCTACTTTAATTTAAAAAAGAAAGAAAGAAAGAAAGAAAGAAAGAAAGAAAGAAAGAAAGAAAGAAAGAAAGAAAGAAAGAAAGAAAGAAAAGCATTTCCAGGCTGGAGAGAAGGCTCTGGTTGTTCTTGCAGAGGTCCTGAGTTCAATTCCCTGCACCGCATGGCTTCCAGGGGAGCCAGCATGGACTGCTGACTGCCATGGGCATGTGGTACACACGCATACCTGCAGGCGACACATCCATACCCGGACAGTAGTTGAGTGTTGTTGGAATTCGGTCCCTGGGGCAATTGTATGGGGCAGGGTAATGAGGGAGGAAGCTCTACGGTTAAGTCAGGTTTATTAAACAGGTACAAAATGCAGAGTACACTCACAATACAGGAGGCTGCAACCTGCTGCTGCTGTAGCTGCTAATCCTCCCGTTCCCAAGGACAACTGGGGAGGTCTGGGGAAGGCTACCAAGCTGCAGCTTCCAGTACCTGCAAGCCCTCCACAGTCTTAGAGCCCCTATGACCCTTCCCCCTGGGGTTTTATTGGGTCACTATCTCCAGAGAAGACCACGCCCATTGGGCCAAGCCTCTCTGTACAATTAATTGCCTGTCAGACCAAATTCCCACAACAGTTGAACATGTCAGTCTTTGTGTCACGGAGGACATTGTTAGGGAAGGAGTACATATAAAAGTAACAGTGGCAGTAGAAGAGCCGGGGACTTAGGAAGGAAGGACCTGCATCTGTGACTAAGGATGGCTAAGGCCATTCATGCCTTCAGCTGGTACGCCCAGGGTGTTGACTGTTTGCCACATGGATTAACTGACTTGAAAAACTAATTAAAAGTCAAGAGAGGCTCCTCCGTCTCCTTCCACACTTCTGTGCAGCAGCCCCTGTGGTGGTGGCATTGGCCAGTGCCATCGTGGGCCATCCATCATGGCAGAAAGAATGAGTAGATGGCCGGCCAAGACTACACAGACTTCAGGCAGCCCTCTTAAGCTGTGTTTCCCTCTGTAGGATAATTCATTTTACCCAGAGAAGGAGTCCCCTAGATGGTTTTCTGGAATTTTCTAGAACAAAGTTGTACTATTCTTAGCGAACAGGGATAGCTCCAGAGAAGCATGGTTTTCTCCTGGGTGGGGCATTGTTCTGTATTCGTGCCTCTTACACAGCATCTCCAGGCCCTCAGAACAAGACCTGAACTGGACTCATCGGGTGGAGAAATGCGGCCTTCAGCAGCTGCTCCCTGCGGCGCTCAGCCTTCCGGTGCTGATCTGTCCTCCCAGCCACAGCCTCGGTTATTTTCCTCGTGTGCTCTCTCCCTGGCCACGGTCAGCAGGGAAGTCTGGCCAGGAGCATATTTCTGCATTCATTTTTAACTGACTCACATGCAGGAATTGAAACAGCGGCACTGACAAAAGTGTCCCTAGTGGTGGGGTTGACTGTTGAAGTGGCTTTCCTGGGGAAACTGCCAGTGTGACTCTGCGGGGACCTCAGCCTGCCGCAGGGCTTTGAGTCTGTGCCACCTCTCTAGGCACGCCACCACCAGTGGGTCTGTGGACGCCTCAAACTTGGCAAACAAAGCTGGTGATTGGATGAGCCAAGGCAGGTCTCCCAGGCCGTAGACACAGGTGTCTTGGGCATCATGGCCTACGGATAGAAACAGAAATTTAACTGCCCATTCCCCACCAGTTCAATAGGGTCCAAGTAAGTGGTGCACACTTCCTCAGGTGTCAGCTGGGAGGGCTCCTGTGCACAGAGTTCAGAATAAGTAGCATCCCGTAACTGTGGTGTCCGTCGCTGAGGTTGGATTTTGAATTTATAATGAAGGGAATTTTACCTTTGGACTAGTATTTGGAGAACGTTCTAAATGTCAAGAGCCATGATAGCGCTGCTGCACCAGCTGAAGGCTCCTGCCTGTAAACCACACTTGGGAGGCTGAGGCATGAGGATTGCCATGAGTTTGAGACAGACTTAGTACCAGGCCAGTCTGGGCCTGATGAGCCCTGGATCTAATTCCTATTTTAATTATTTACTCTTGGACCAAGCTTCACTCGGAAGAACCAATAGAGCTTTCTGATGAACTGCCCACAGCCAAGGAGACGCCTGAAAGATCATGGAATCAGATCTGACAGCTGTGCAGAATGCAGCCACTTCTATAATTGCAGCACTTGGGGGCTGAGGCAGGAGGATCATAGATTTAAGGCCAGCCTTAGCTACATAGCAAAACCCTGTCTCAAAAGAAAGATGAACAAGGGTCTGGTGGTGTAGCTCAGTAAGGGGTGTGTGTGTGTGTATGTATGTGAGAGAGAGAGAGAGAGAGAGAGAGAGAGAGAGAGAGAGAGAGAGAGAGAGAGATGCTGTTGTAGCTCACTGTAGCTCCCTATTGAATTACAATGTCTACCTTTTTAAAAAAAAAAAAAAAGCAGCAACCTTCTAACCAGGCATGTGCCTTTAATCCCAGGAGGTAGAGACAGGCAGATCTCTGAACTCTGGACTAGCCTGGTCTATATAGTGAGTCTTTCTCCCCACCCCCCAGAAAAACAACCCTCTGAGCTAAACCTTTGCCCAGCCCCTGACCTGGCACTGTCAAGACAACTGTGTTTACCCACCCTTTAGCTACTTTGGCATCAGAGTTGACACCCACCCCCCCATAACCTGTTTATTTTATGTCAATCTTTTAGATAGTTGGGCATGGGGAGCCTGACTTACTCTGCATGTCTGATTTACTGTCCTAATCCAGGGTCCGCACTCAAGTGTCAAGTGGGACGACGCCCTTGTGTGGTAGCTGGTACTGTGCTTAGGAAGCTGCTTGTGGACAAACGGCAGCCCCCAAAAGGGGTGCTGTGCCATGCTACAGCTCTCTCTGTAGTCAGTCTGTGTGGCCTGCAACTTGTACCCCAACATGAGTGCACCCCCACACTCTTGAACTCTGAAGAGCACTGACCCTCTGTTCCCTCATTAGCATAGTGCAGTGAAATGATGATTCCCCCAAAGCTGTCCGGACTCCTCCAAAGTGAGCTGGGGTGGCCGAGGACTGGACCTTATCCTCCTAGAGCGCTACAGCTTCCTATGCGCTGTTTGTCCAGACTGGCTTGCTGTCAGCCAGGGCTCTGCAGACATTTCATAACCGGGCCCACAACTGCCCCTTTTCCTCTGTGACTCAAACCTCTGGGATGCCAGAGAGGTGGAGAATTTGTGGTTCCTGAGAGAGAATCCACCAGAGCAAACCAGAAAGGCACCTTGACAGCAAGAACTCCCTGAGAGCTGCTTGGGTGCCCTGTGCACTGCATGAACCAGACATGGTGGCTGGCGCACATCTCTAATGCCAGCACTGTGCACACAGAGACAGGCTGCTGTTGATTCTTTACCTGTAGACCCCTTGTGACCGTCTTCTTCCTCCATTCTCCATTTAATGGCTTGGATGTTTCCTTCCCAGCCAGCACCTGATGTGGCGCCTGGAGCATCTGAAGGGTGGGGGGACAAAATCAGGTTACACTGTGGTGTGCAGTTCCGGCTGCTAGGATGCAAGCTTTGATAGTCTCTCGAAATTCACTGGATGTGTGTAAAGGGTCCTGAGGACCATGCTGTGGCCCTGGGCTGCGTTTCCCTCTAACAGCCTTGGTAGGTGATGTGGGAACAGGACTTGCAGTGGGTATAGGAAACCATAGAATGGTCCAAGACAATTTCTGCAGGGTCCCTGTTTGCAAGAGTGTTATCTATCGATGGACATAGGCAGCCATGCTTGAAGCAGCTCTCTTCGAAGGAACCAGCCGGCCTTCCTCTAGGATGACTTAATAAACCCACTTAAAGGTTGGCACCAGAGTTCCTTCAGAAGTGGTGGGTTGCCACAGACATTATTTTTTTTTATTTTTGGGCTTTATGTTTTGTCTTGTCTTTTTCTTTTTCCGGTTTCTAATCAAGAACTCATTCTGTAGCCCAGGGTATATTCCCAGAACTGTGACTGACAGATGTGAGCCCTTAGCACAATGCCATAGTAACTATCCAGTAACTTTACCAAGTGGATGAAAACAGATGCAGATTTTTTCCAAACATTATGCCCAGGATTTCCAAAAGGTTCTATTGGAGGAGACACAGAATGAGCCTAAGATGGGAACATGACAAGACTGTCTCCCTACCTCCACACCCCTAGAACCAGAGGCCACCCATGTTCTGCAGGTGGAAGGCCTTGTGAGATGCAGGCCCTGTACAAAGCCACAGCAGGACAGCAGGAAAAAACCCACCCCTGACAGCTACTTCCCAGAGCGGCACCCACACCACGGAGTGATCCTACCTTTCATTTGGTTCAGGGTCGCCCAGTAGTGCATCTCTGGGCTCTGGACATCTTTGGACCACTGCAGCATGCGTTTTGCACGGGAGTCAGTCAGGATGAACCCTACAAACTTTCTCGTAAGTGCGAAGTAAGCACTTCCAGAGTAAACCGTCAGATTATGGGGTGGTTTTTGTTTGAGCCTTGTCTTTGGAGATGTGTGGGCATTTTCTTTGGGGTGAGGCTCAGGGGGGCTCTGGACTGGCTTTGGGTTGGTATTTGGAAGTGGGATCAGCCTGGGAGTGATGTTTTTACCCTTCCACTTGGTTCTGATGTAGCTTATGATTTCTTTGTTGGTTTTGATTGGGAATTCCTGTCCATAGAGATTCATGACATAGTGCCAGTCGAATGTGGAGTGGACAAGGTCTTTCATGCAGTTAATCTCTGCCTGCAGCCTCTTAGGGCCGTCATGAGCCACCTGCTGTGTCTTTGATGAAATGAAGACATTTTCAAAGCAGTTCACAAAGGATTGCACGGCACTCTTGACCTTCTTTGGGGCCTTTTCATCAATGTGGACACAATAGACATTCTGAGGTGCATAAATTGCTCTGAGAAGCCGCACAAACATGGCCAGCTCCTTATGAACATTTATAATATACGCCAAAGAGAAGTTCCTTTCTTCTGCAGACAGGGGTCTCGTTATGAAATGCAGCCCCGAGGCCATCCTGGAACAGTTTCCTGGTGTGCGCAAATGAGAGAGTATTTCAGAATTGTGAGGGGGTTTGCAGAATTGTGCGATTTGGGGGGCTGCCTTTTTCCCTTCAAATAAAGCTGAGCACAGTTCATCTGGATAGAAGCCACATTCCACCACAGCCAAGTGGGCGGGCTCCTCCTCAGCCTCCTCAGGATCTGGGCTCCCCAAGTAAAGGAAGATGAAGGCGCAGATCACGCCACATGCCACAAGTCCAGCCTTTGTGGTTCGGAACTGGCTCATGCTTTGAGCTCAGTGTCTTCTCACCACCATAGCTTTAAATGGCTCCTCCCAGTGTCCTAAAAGAGCAACAGAGAGCATTTAGAGTCAGGTAACCTCCCCCCAACTCTCCTGAAGCACGTTAACTCTGTGTTCTTAAGAATATCACTGGGGTGTGGATGCAGCTCAGCTTGGAGAGTGTCCGCCTGGCATGCCTGAGGCCCTGGGCTCTGTCCCCAGCCCTGCTTGAACCAGGGGTGGTGTTGTCCAGCTGTTACCTCTGCCCTGAGAGGCGGGACGGAAGAGCAGAAGCTCAAGGTCATCCTTGGCTACACAGAAGTTCAGATTTGATCAGTGGATGGCTAGAAAAGTAGATGGGCAGATAGGAAAATGCCATCTGAACAGATACTAGTTTATTGGGTTCTTTGTGTCTTTTGGGGAGGGGAGGTTGTTGTGTTGTACAAGCTGACCTTGAACATGGATTTGAGCAGTCTTCCTGTCTCAGGCTCCCAAGTTGCCGACCTCCAGGTGCATGCAGCACTCCTGAGTGTAATCTGATCGTCTTTTTCTGGATGTACACTCTGAAACTATCACCACATCAGGGCAACTTTCACCCCTAAGTGTCCTTATGCCCCCCGGAAAGCCGTCTTCTTTCTACCCCATCTTTCAGCAGCCATTTATGTCTTTCTGTGTCCCTGGATTCTGTAATGTGATGTAGGTGGGATCATACAGAAGATTCGTGGCTTTTCCGAGTTAGGATAACGATTCTGAGTCAGCCTCCTATTGGAGTTTCCATTAGTTCCTTTGCACTGGTAAGTGTGGTTTTGCACAACTTATTTGTTCAGCTGTTGATGGACTCTTACATCATTTTCAACTTTTCATTATTACAAAGATGCCATGAGCATTGTGCATGAGTCTTTGTATAAACAGATGTCTTTGTCTCAAGTGAACATGGACTAGTGAAACAGCTGTGTCATGTGTTGGGCATGTAGCTGAATAGTGAAACGGCTGTCTCATGTGTTGGGCATGTAGCTTCACTCTGGGCTTTTCCAGGTGAGTACAGCAGCAGGTAGGAGAGTTCAGTTTGCTACACTGCACGTTGGCAGCACTCCATTTCCATGGTAACCATCCTAATCGGCTTGCAAGGGGCAATTCCCTGTGGTTTCACTGTCGTCCCTGATGACTTGTCAGTGCTGAGCACACTTGCGAGTTATTCTCCTGTATTTACGCCTTTCTCCGTTACATTGAGTCTGAATCTTTCCATAGAGGGTTTGAACGACAAATTGAAAGGGCATTTGTGGTTGCAAAGTTAAGCCTGTTGAAATGAGCTGAGGAATTCTTTCTAGGGATTAAAATCAAGGCAGATAATGATGTCTCCTGATGCCAGCATGGTGACCTGTCCAGAACCGCAGTAGATGTGTGGGCAGCTGCAGCTGCAGCAGGCCTTGCTAAGAGCGCATGCTGGAGAACTACTGCATACTATGTTTGTCCTTCTGCATTCAGAGAGCAGAGCTGTCCAGGAGAGACGTCAGGCTGTGCTGTCAGGAGGTCATGTTTGTGAGTCATGGCGAATGGACCTGCACAGCTCTTTTCCTTGGATGTGACTTGGGGACAGGCAGAGCAGCCTTGGGAGCTCTGTCTGTTGTGGGCGGTTTAAATAGCACATTGATTTTCATTGTGGTTTCTTACCACCTAACACGCTTTGAAATACAAAATAGCCGCTGCCCTGGGCAGTGGGTCACAGATACAGTCAACATCTGTCAGTCGCCACAAGTATCAAACCTTAGGGTCTCCTTAGCAAGAGTTTATAAAGCATGCAAGGCCTCCCTTCATATGCATAGCACTCTGGTGCCTCATCATTTCATGTCTGGTCCCCAGAATAAACAGCCCTCCATCCCCAGTGTAGAAATCCACCAGGACAGAGGTCCTTGCTGAAGGAGATGCCGTGCAAGCCTCTCACAACACTTATGAGTCTTTGTTTTGTCATTTTAGGCTTTTACTTATTTTTCTGTTTGGTTTGGTTTTTTGAGACACGATTTCTCTATGTAACTGACAGCCCTGACTGTCCTGGAACTCACTGTGTACACCAGACTGGCCTTGAATTCACAGAGAGGTCTTGCTGGGATTAAGGGTACGTGTCACCATACCCAGCTAAAGATTGGGAATTTTGAGCAAGGTACATGGTACACCATGGTTTTGGTGCACCCCTCCTGGTATGGTAGATTTGCCAGGGAGAAGGCTCAGGGACTGCTTGGTTCTCCGCTGCCTGCATGGATAGGTGTGCCCCCATAAGCCTCAGCTGTAGTCAAGCCCCAGGGACTGTTCTTCAGCCATTTATATAATTAGTGGAGACAGCAGCGTACTCCCTGGCCTCTTAGAGGTGAACGAGAGCAAGCTAAGTTTTTCTTCCTACCTTTCCCCTTGTCCTCAGCCAGCCGACACTGGGGCTGACTGTGTCACTGCTCAGATGCCACTGTTTCAGCACAAGCCTGTTCACTGTTACTATTTCGTCCGTTATACATTCATGTGATCCATTCAGAGGGTTTCCGCAAGCTTTACTGTCAAAGCCCAGCTCATTGTTTCACGTCTCACAGTGAGTGCCTGGTGTTCCACCCTAAGGTTGAGGAGGCACTGGGGAGCCAAGCTAGCTGAGTGTCCCTTCTCCTTCTCCACGGACTGGTGGTTGCCATGCCAGGCTGGTATTGGTTGGTCCCAGACCCAGTGTGACAGAGTTCCCTCAGAGCTACTTTCTGAGCATAGAGACTCAAGTCCCTGTAGCCACAGCAGGGCAGGTTCTCTTCTGTCGTCTTTATTGTCCCTGGGCTCAGGACAGTGTGTCTCCAGCACCCTGAACGTCAGTTTAAGCCACTAGCCATATTGTGTTCATTGGACTGATTTGAACCCACAGACTGTCCAACTGTCCAATAAGATGGGTGTCTAGTTCACAGTGTGCTTACGCCTGAGCCCTGTGTACTGGTTCAGCTGTGTCTGCAGAGGTCTGCTCCTGGGGTGTCTGCTCAGCAAGCTCAGCTACCAGTTCACTTTCAGTACTGCCACTGATAAAAAACTGAGGCTTTAGCCATGGCCTCCAGGCTGACTTAACTGTCAGGGTTAATACACGGTGTCATCTCTCACTTGCTGTGGAAACAGTTCACCCTGCTTCTCTTTGGCTTACAGCCGGAAACCATAGGAGTGTTTTTGAGGGGAAGTGATACCTGCCTGCCATCCATCGCTGATCCTGTGCTTCTAGTCCTAGGCAGCTAGAAAGCCCCGCTTCCTTCAGAACTTAGACCTGCTTGCCCTGCTGCCCACTGCCCCTCCCCACACCGTCCGTGACACACTCACCAGGTGCAGTTCCTGTTCCTGGAGGAAACCTGGGCAGGTGATGGCCCAGCCACCTCTCCTCTGGCTGTGGCTCCTGCTACTCAGAGTTGCCTGGCAGGCCGTGTTGCCTTTGCATCCCTCGGGACATATACTCTTGTTGATTCTGACACGTTGGTAGAAGAGATAGCTACTGTATCTGGTCCCTGAGAATTATCCAGGATTGTATACCTGCCAGGAAAATAAAGAGCAGCAATACAAGCTGCAGACGGAGCTGCAGCCCAGATGAGGAGAGTACAACCTCCGTGCTCTGAAAGCAGCGGCCCTCTCCCTCAGCATCACACATCACACTGGGGAGATCATTCAACCCTCAGACTCGGAAAGCTGCTAGCTGGGCTGATGTTTTGTAAGATTGGGGGCATGGTCCTAAAATGCTCTTCAAGGCCAGGCATGGTAGCACACACTTTAATCCCAGCATTCTGCACTTGGGAGACTGAGGCAGGAGGATCTCTGAGTTTCCAGTTAACCTAGGCTACATACGAACTCCCCAGGCCTGCCAAGGTGACATAGCGAGACCCTATCTCAAAACTAGAAGCAAACAACAAAACAGTCTCTTTAAAACAGGAGGCTAATTTTTCTGATACTTGTCTGTATTTAGGTTTACCTGGATAGATCTATTTTTTTCATGTTCATTAATTAACTTATTACTGTGTGGTGTGTGTGTGTGTGTGCGCGCGCGCACATAGGCCCTAAGTTTGAGTGGGGGGTTCAGGGGACAACTTGCAGAGGTCAGTTCTCCTTTCATTACATGGGTTCTGGGAATTATGCTCAGGTCATGAGGTTCGGCAGCTAGTGTCCTTACCTGCTGAGCCATCTTGCTGGCCTGACATAAGTGGAGGGACTTGGGTCGTCAATTCCTTGCATCCCTGGGGCTGTGGCTCAGTGGTAGAGTGTTCATCTAGCTTCCATTGGGTGCAGGCTTCCACCCAGCCACGGAACCGCACTGAAGATTTGACCCCACCTATGTTTCTAGATTCCAAAGCTGGATGGCAGGGTGCGTGAGTAGGTGGTGTCCTCACCTGCTGGTGGAGCAGCCTGAAGCGCAAGTGTGTTTTGTGGAACAGCTGTCGTAGCTGCTATAGAAAGAGGTCTTGGTGGGGGAGCTAGCAGAGTCTCTATGAACTTCAGGCCTACTACCCCTGAGGAGGGGGAACAGGTACCGCCTGTGCCTGTGTGCAGGGCTCGGATCCTGTCTTCTGAGGTACCGCCTGTGCCTGTGTGCGGGGCTCGGATCCTGTCTTCTGAGGTACCGCCTGTGCCTGTGTGCGGGGCTCGGATTCTGTCTTCTGAGGTACCGCCTGTGCCTGTGTGCCGGGCTTGGATCCTGTCTGCTGAGCTTGTGCCTGTGTGTGGGGCTCTGATCCTGTCTGCTGAGCCTGTGTCTGTGTACGGGGCTCAGATCCTGTCTGCTAAGGTACAGCCTGTGTCTACGTGCGGGGCTCAGATCCCATCTTCTGAGGTACCGCCTGTGCCTGTGTGCGGGGCTCGGATCCCGTCTGCTGAGGCTCTGCTTCTATCTAGCAGGAATCTTGAGAGAGCAGCCAGACATCGTGCACACAACATAACGGTAGAGGCTAACCTGGTCTACAGGTGAGACCTTTCCTCAGGATTTAAAAAGATGTGAGCATGGTAGTCCTTGCCTTATTATTCTAGCACTTGGAAGGCTGAGGCAGGAGAATTACTGTGAGTTCCAGGCCAGCTTAAATTATGTAGTTCTTGACTACCGTGGGCTAGAGTGAGAGCCTGTCTCAGGATGAAAGGAAAGGAAAAGAAAGGTGTTAATAACAAAACATGGATCAATCCCACAAGCCATCTCTGCTGCCTGCGCATCAGCCATGCCCTTCCTTCCCACCACAGGTGGCCTAGATCTTTCTCCATGGAGAAGAGCTGGCTGCTGCCATGGTTGGCGCTGCCTTCATTTGTCTTACTTTTCCCTTAGAATGAATCTCTCCCCCACATCCCAAGGTCAGGTGTAAAGATACCCTCCCAAGACCAGAACGGTCTTGTGGGGCAGTCCTACATAGCTGAGGTCCGAGCAGCTAACGTCAGTGAGTGTGAAGGGTCTTGTGAGTGTTCAGAGGGAGAGGGTGCTTCCTTGTGTTTGTTTTTGCTCTTGAGGCAGGTTTTGCTGGGCCTGCATTGGCCAGAAACTGTGTCTTAGACTGGCCATGAACTCCTGGTGGTTCTGCCTCCCTCTCCTTAGTGCTGTGATTATAGGCTTAAGATAACTCATTTAAAAAAAAAAAAAAAAGGTTATTACTTACACATGTGTGTGCCTGCATGAGTTTGTGTGCACCACTTGTATGTAGGTGCCCACAGGTCAGAAGAAAGTGTCAGGTGCCCTGGAATTGAAGTAACAGGTGATTAGCCACCTTATAGGTGTTGGGAACTGAGCCTGGGTCTTTAGCAGGAGCAGTGAGCACCCTTAACCTCTGAGCCATTTCTCCAGCCTCAAATTCCTAACAGTCGGTGACTTAGTTATCAAAATCTATCAGTGTTGGGTATGTGTATGCACAGTGTCAGGCCACAGCCATGATTCTAGGCAAAGAATGTTGCTGCCATGGAAGAAAGAGCAGGGGTGCAGGGATGGGCAAAGAAGGTCACCCTGAGTTCCCAGGAGGATAGCCACAAATTTGAGGCCAAGCCTGCTCTACACAGAGAGTCCAAGGGTAGCCAGAGCTCCTTAGTGAGACCCTGGTTAAAGAGAGAAACGCTGAACAGGTTTTAAGGCTCAGCTCTTTTCCAGTTCTGGGTTCTTTTTCTCTACACCTCCTGAAAGCGGAGTGGTCAGGAGAGCACTGCCCTGACCCCTGGTGGTGACCAGGGGTCACCCCTGGTGGATCCTGGGTCCGCTGCTCAGGAGACTAAGCCACCTGTGCCCATTGGGTTGCCACCTTGACACAAGCCTGGAGGAGGACACCTCATTTGAGAAGATGCCACTGTAAACTGGCCCGTAGGCAAGCCTGTGTGGCGTTGTCTTGATTGGTGATTACTTTGGAAGGGCCCAGTTCACTGGGGGTCTTGTAGCCCCCCCCCCCCCCGCAGGTGGTCCTGGGTGTCAGAAGAAAGTAGTCTGAGCAGCAGTGAGCAGGTTCCTCCTCCACCACCTCTGCTTCAGTTCCTGCCTGCAGGGGTCCTTCTCTAACTTCCCTCAGGGTGGAGTACAAGTTGCACTGGCCTTGCTGTTTACCACAGCGATAGAACCCCTAAGGCATGGCAGTCTTATTCTTTGACTGCAAACTGCATCCTCATGAAATTCGAGTTCAGTCCTTTTTTACTTGACAAGTTTCTGTGTCGAGCTTTTTTCCATTGTGGAAAACATTGGCAGCCTCTCCAGTGGTGTTCAAAACAATAACAAAACAAAAAAACAAAGCAGGGAAGTCAGGTTCCCTTGGAAAGAAACTTGGGCTGAAATCCCAGCAGGGAGGTAGGGTCCTGCCTCCTGCACTCTACTGCCCTCAGGAGGGCTATTTACGTCGAGTGCGCCTCCACGCCCCTTGGGCCTTCCTTCCCACCTCACTCAGTTCTGAAAGATCCCTTTCCACTCCCTCTCCAAGGAAAAGGCCTCCCTCCCCCATGAAGGGATTCTCTACCCAAGTGTCCCCTGGCCCAGGACTTCCCAAGGAACAACTTGCCCAGAGACTGTTCCTCCCCACCTCGCTGCTGTCCTGGTGGCTGGGAACCCTCCCTTCACTGGTGGTTGCTTCCCCTTCCTCTGAAGGGCACCAAACTCAGGCTCTGTGAGTCCTCAGGGAAGCCCTGTAAAGGGAGCTGACCTGACCTGAAAGGTAGATTTGTAGTGAGTCACTCCTCACCTCTGTGGGTGCAGGAGACTGAGGTCACACACTCGCCTGTCCTGTGTGCTGGGAGGTGCCCGATACCTTGGGTCGTGTTCAAGAAGAGGGCCCTGTTTATTAGCTTTTTAACAGAGGATGGCAATGACACCTCTTCCCAGATGTTATAGCCAGACTATCTCCATACTGTGTGGTGGCCCTGAGGAACAGAGCAGCCAACTGAGGGTCTCTGTCCTGGGGTTAGACCTCCACCCCTGAGGAGGACTGAGTGACAGAGAGGTGGCGCCTAATCAAGGGGACCTGGAGACGCTGGAGCAAAAGCCTCAGTTCAGATGGAAGAGCTTTGCTCTCTATCACTGTTCCTCTTCCTGCCGTGTGTTAGGCACTGTGCTCAGGGCCTAGGCCCCCACTCTCAGGAGACATACTGGTGTGGTGGCAGGTGGCTTTTCTGAGGAGGTGACTTGCTTGGTTACAGTTCTTGAGCATGGACATTAACAAGTATCTGTTCCCGTCTCCAGGGCACAATTAAATACTTGGACACAGTTCTGCCCTGTGTCTAGAGTCAACCCTTATACTTAGAAGTTTCTGGAAAGAGTATCGGAAGTAAGCAGATACTTATGCTCTCTGCTAGGGCCTGTTGTCATGGTGTACTGTTGGTACACAGCAGCGTGGTAGGGGGAGGATGAGGCTCACACAGAATGACCACTGTCCCAGCAACACAGCACAGCAACTTCAGGTGGTCCTACACTCAGGGTCTTTCTCAGGCCTGTTACAGAGCCCAGCACTGACCAGTGTGGGCAGTACTGGCACCTTGAGCCGCCCTATCAGTTACCTATGTCGGAACCCTCCAGAGTGGGGCACCCACCGAGCTATGTTGCTCTGGGCCAAGACAGAACAGCTCATCTGAGACACAGGCAGAGATGCAGCAGGAACCTAGCAAGAGCTGGAGGCCAGCGCTGAGCGAAGAGCAGGCCTCTCGATGTCTCCCCTCCCGTGGAAACTGACCTTGCTTTCTGCCCTCCAGTGTGGGGCTGCCTTCCAGGAGGATGACATCATTGTGCTCAATGGCACCAAGGAGGATGTGGAGTTGCTGAAGAAGAGGATGGAGGAGAGGCGGCTGCGGGCCAAGCTGGAGAAGGTAACGAGGGGGCTTCACTTCTGCTCCAGGGTCCACTGCAAGTTATTCTGCTGCCTTAGCAGATGCTGGGGCGGGGAGCGGGGATTATATAGCTGAATTTTTGCCAGCCCAGGAGGTCAGGCCTCTAGAAACAGATTCAGGGCTTGGCTACATTAGCCTTCATCTGCTCAGGGCATGATGGTGTAGGGAGATTTTAAATGACACCTGTCCATCAAGCACTTGCACAGAGTGTGACATTAGTGAACCCTCAGGACAAGGCTGTACTGATTTAAAGGAACACACATGGACAGCAGGTGTATCTCAGTAATAGAGTCTGAAGCCCTAGGTTCTGTCCTCAGTACAAAGAGATAAATAGGGGGACTCATACTCTGTTTTCATAATCGTAAAGACAAGAGAAGAAGTCAGCATCTTCCCAGCAGGCTTGGGGGAGGAGGTGCTGGATTTTTTTTTTTTTGTTTGTTTAAGTTGACATGCAAAGCAGTGGAATTCATTGGGGCTGTAGGTTTTTGTTGTTGTTGTTTTTGGGCGGGGGGGGGGGGGGGGTGTTGTTTTTTTTTTGTGTGGGGGGGGGGGGGGTTTTTTTTTTTTTTTTTTTTTTTGTTGGGGGTGTGGGGTTGGTGGGGGGTTGGTTGGGGGGGGGGGGGGGTGGGTTGTTGTTGTTTTTTATAGATTAGGTTCAAGGAAAACTTGGGCCTACCCTTTGTTTTTACTAAGGTGGAAATCCAGATGTGGTACACCTGTAATTTTATGGCTTCTAAGGTAGAGTCAGGAGAGAAAGTTGGAGGCCAGTTTGGAGACCCAGGGGCTCCTTCACAGAGGCATGGGTTTGACCCCAGCACTGAAACAAGCAAAAGCTACGAAGGCAAATGCTAGAAGTGTTGTAACTATAGCAGTAAGGAGAGTGGGAACATGGAGGGGAGGGGAGCCGGCATTAAATTGGCCTACCGCTGCCAGTGTCGTCCACGGGGCTAGAGCTGCGGGGACAGAAGGCAGTGTCGTCCACGGGGCTAGGGCTGCGGGGACGGAAGGCAGTGTCGTCCACGGGGCTAGGGCTGCGGGGACGGAAGGCAGTGTCGTCCACGGGGCTAGAGCTGCGGGGACGGAAGGCAGTGTTGTCCACGGGGCTAGAGCTGTGGGAACGGAAGGCAGTGTTGTCCACGGGGCTAGGGCTGCGGGGACAGAAGGGACTGCATAACTTTGCTTGTGCATTTTAGTTGTAGAAGAAAGAACAGAGTCACATCATTCACATGTGATGATACTTCACGGTTGTGAGGCTTAGAAGGCTGATGGTCACACATGGGGCACAGACTCCGGAGAAGCCCAATCCATTCTCATTTCCTCCTTTATCATCTTAGAAAGTGGTGCATGTAATGTTCCATAACACTAGGAATTGTGGGCAACTCTGAAATTAGTTGCCACAGAAATGCGCTGTGGAACTGTTTACAAGATGGTAGCAGCCTTCCTGAGAATACTGTAGGTCTCTGGGTCATTTAAGCTGTGTATGGAGGTTAAAAAAATATTTGTGTGTGTGTGTGTGAATTCTAAATTACTGAATTTTTAAATTTAGTAAATTACTTTTCTAAATTACTCTGCACTTGCCGTCATAGGAGCATAAAAACGCCTAACGTATCAGACAAGAGATAGCAGCATAAGGACAAACTTGCTTGATTTTTGCTGTCCTTGGTCTGTTTGTTTTTTTTGTTGTTGTTGTTTGTTTTGTGTTGTTTTCTTTAAATGCAGAGAGGGTGTTGTGTGCTAAAGACAGTGGCTAGAGAGCTGCAGGGAGCCCTGGGTGACTGTCCTGTCAGGGCTTCCTGCCAAGTCCTGCAGAGCCCAATGGGACTAGATCCCCTCTGCAGCCTCCTCAGCAGAGCCTTTGCGAATGCACTTAGATACTGCTACCAAGATACAAAATATTTCCCAAATATTCTTACCTGCAGACAGGGCTCAGCATTTCTGCATGCCTCCAGCTTTGAAACAGCTCAGCCGAAATGGAGGGCTAAGAACTGGGCATCTGCCTCTGGTTCTGTTTGGTGTGCTTGGGGTGTGTACACACGTACTGTGTGCACACACTCGGAAGCAGGAGCCCAATGTCAGGTGTCTCCCTCTGTCACTCTGCTCTGTGACCTTGACAGCATCTCTCACTAAGCCAGAAGACCACCGTTTCACCTGGGCTGGCTGACTAGCAGATTCTCAGGATCCCAGTCTCTACCGGCCAGTACTGATTTACAGGCCGTGTGCAGGCATGCCCGGCTTTCTGCGTGGTGCTTCTGCACTCAGACATCAGCCCTCACACGGTTGTTGTGTGCATTTCATGTGTGAAAGTTTTTTATGGCTTTATTTTTCAAATGCTTTGAATCATATTATGTATATATCAGATATTGAAGGCCACCGCCAAGAAAGATCTTTGGTTCAGCGTATGTAAGAAATGAGGGCCTTCCAAAATAATTGTTTTGTTTTACTTGTTATTTTAGAGACAGCGTCTCATGATGCCCAGGCTGGCCTTGGACTTGCTGGTCTTAAACACGTGATTTTCTTATCTCCTCCTCCCCAGTGGCTGAGACAGCAGGTGTACTGCCTGGCTTGGCTGTGCCTCTTTGGAGCCCTTTTTGGGTTTTTATGGAAATGACATTTTAAAGAAAATTATGAACAGTCCTAGTCATTTGTGCAATTGAGTGTCATTGCACAATGGTCAGCCTTTTGAGGATTGGCCAATAACTATTGTACGAATCCAGCATCTAAAAGTCTAACGAGAGTAGTCTAGTTTAAATCAACTAACATTCCTCTGTGTGAGCTCCCAAGCCTCATAGCTAAACAAACATCACAGTTTCACAGCTTTGAAATTGCGTTCCCAGAGTAAATAGGATTCTGTATATGTTCATGCATGTAGAGTTTATGTTGCTGTTTAACTGCCCTTTTGTGTACGATGGTCACTGGAAATATCGACCTTTTGTGTGCGTGGTGTGGTGTTGAGGATCAAACTCAGGACCTCATGAACACCGGGTTGGTGCTGTGCCAGTGAGCGCCATCCCCAATGTCTGATGTTGACTCCTCATTGAAATGTATTGTTTTCATTTAAAAGTGTGAGACAATAGAGCTGGAACCAATCAGCAGCTCTCTAATCCTGAGAGATATGTGCCAGGCCATCAGAGAGGACCCTGGGCCTAGGCAGGCCCGCTGCCTCTGTGGTCCACTCCATCTGAGCATACCCTCTGTCTTAGACACTGTTCTATCTCTGTGCTAAAACACCATGGCCAAAGGCAACTTACAGAAGGAAGGGTTTATTGTGGCTCACAGTTCCAGAGGGAGAGTCCGTCCTGGTGGGAGGTTTGGCTGCTTGCTCCAAGCATGCCAGCAAAGCGGGAAGCTGAGCCTTCATTCACACTCAGAAGCAGAGTGAACTGGAAGTGGGGTGAAGCTGTATACCCTCAAAGCTCACCCCCACTCATATACCCCCACTTCTGAAGGTTCCATAAACTCCCAAACACATCACCTATCGAGGAACAAGTGTTCAGAACCTGAGCCTCTGGAGGTGTCCTCATTGAAACCACCACAGCCTTTAGTAGCTTCTCTCTTCTTACAGAGAACAAAGAAACCGAAGACAGCCGAGTGTGTCTCCAAGGCGGGTTTTGCAGACGGTAAGATACAAAGAGATTGGGGTGTGGGCTGTATCCCATGTCACCAGGGCCTAGTTCTGCTTTGACTCAAGGTTTGTTTTGCTGACTTTGTCTTTTATAGACTCTGCAGGACCATCCAAAGTGAAGGTTGGCAAGCCTGAAGAGGCGGACCCCGATCATAGAGAGAAGAAAAGCAACTTGGCTTCCAGGGACACAGGTGGGTCTCAGCAAAGACCTGAGAAAATTGGGAAGCCAGAGCCAAGGGATGAGAAAACGTGGGCTTTTCCCAGTAATTCATAGGTGGTTTCCTGTGTCCTCTGAATTAAAATGTAGCCTCACGTTCCAGCCTGGAGCCCTGCTGGCCCAAAAGATTCTGGACACAAATCCTTTTTCTTACTGCTGAGCGAGGTTATAGTACCACAGCAGGCAGCCACATAGAGACACGCTGTGTGGAGGGCTCCGGGCGCTCAGAACCTTTCCTAGGTTCTCCCTCATCCCTGTGTTCCATCATAGAAATGTCCTCTCTCCACCTGCCTCCTGGCCAAGTGCAAGAGCTGCTCCAAAACTCAGTGTCTTTACAACAGGCTGGTAGCAGAGGCAGGGTCAACCCCAGGGCCAGGCCAGCCAGGGCTATGCACTTAGTCTATCTCTTTCTCTGTGTGTGTGTGTGTCTCTCTGTGTGTCTGTCTGTCTCTCTTCTCTCTCTTCTGGTTTTTCAAGACAGGGTTTTTCTGTGTATCCCTGGCTGTCCTGGAACTCCCTTTGTAGACCAGGCTGGCCTCAAACTCAGATCTGCCTGCCTCTGTCTCCCAAGTGCTGGGATTATGGGTGTGCTCCCCCACCACCCAGCTAGACTATCTCAAAAAGAAAAAAAGGCTGGAAAGCTGTTTCAGCAGTTAAGAGCCAGCACTGTTCTCGTGGAGGACCCGAATTCTGTTCCCAGCACCCATATCTGACAGCTAACAACTACTTGTCACTCCATCTCCAGATCTGACACCCTCTCCTGGTCTCCACAGGCACATGTATGTATATGGCCTAGATTCACACGTACACATACACAAACACATAAAGTGAAAAAGGGAAAGCAAAAAAAGGAAAATAAAATGTATGCTGTGTCTGGTGGCACAGGGCCTGTGGTTCTAGCTACTCAGGAGCTGAGGCAGGAAGATAAAAAGTTTGAGCTCAGTGGTGGAGAACCTGTTTAGGATGGATGCTGAGCTCAGTGGTGGAGAACCTGTTTAGGATGGATGAGGTCCTGGGTTCATTGCCCAGCACTGCAAAGAAACTAAGATCACAGTTATTTTACAAGAAGAAAAGCTCAGGGTTGTCAGGTAAAAGGCAGTGAGATGTCCCACATAAACAGTGGCCAGCGGGGCCCATCCTGGCCTTCTATCAGGACAGGCCACTGACATTCCTGGTCCCCTCTGTCTTTGTGCAGTACTCACCTGAGAGGACTCGGCCTGAGTGCTGAGGAGCTGGGGACGGCTTGGTGCCAGCACACAGTGTTAGCAAGGCCTTGAGGGGTTAGGGCTCTGTCGAGCTTATAGGAGAGACTATCGAGAGCCTGTGCTTTAAGCCAGACATGTTAGCACAGGACTTCTTGGGAGGCAGAGTAGGGAGAATGACCCCAAGTTCAAGGCCAGACTGGTCTACATAGTGAACTCTGAGTCAGCCAGGGCTATGTAGTGAGATTCTAAAATAATTAAATTTATTTACTATATTGGTGTGGGAGGTCCTTCTGTCTGTGTGTTGCTTTTATTGGTTAATGAATAAAGAAACTGCCTTGGCCTATTGATAGAGAAGAACTTAGGTAGGCAGGAAAAACTGGACAAAATGCTGGGAGGAAGAAGGCAGAGTCAGAGAGACGCCATGGATCCACTGCCCGAGATAGACATGCTAAAACTTTACTGGTAGGCCATGACCTCGTGGTGATGCACAGATTACTAAAAATGGGTTAAGTTAGATCTAAGAATTAGTCAATAAAGAGTTAGAGCTAATGGGCCAAGCAGTGTTTTAATTAATACAGTTTCTATGTGATTATTTCAGTTCTGGGCAGCCGGGAAGAACAAGTGTCTCCTTCTTTCGACACTCTATCATGGGCAGGGAACGTAGCACAGTTGGTAGAGCGCTTGTGGAGTGTGCACAAAGCCCTGGGCTCTCTTAGCAGCACTGTGTAAAATGGCATGGCAGCTCATTCTCATAATCTTGGCCCTCAGGAGATGGGGGCCAGAGGGTCAGAACTCAAGGCAGTCTTGGCTTCACATGAGTTTGAAGATGTCCTGGGCTGCACGAGACCCTGCCCCTGTGCTTCAGCTTTTCTTTCCGTGTAGCAGCAAAAGGCTGGGAGACTAGGGAAATGGCATGCATGACTTGTTCTCTTTAAAAGGTCAATGTTTGTGTGTGGTTTGTGTGCCTCCTTTAATCAGGAGGCAGAGAATCTCTGTGAGTTCAAGGCCAATGTGGTCTACAGAGTAAGTTCCAGGACAGCCAGGGCTATACAGAGAAACCGTGTCTCATAAAATAAAAACAAAACAAAAAAGTTGATGTTGAAGTGATCTTTAGTTCCAGCCTTACAGATTTTGTCTTTGTTTTCTAGCAACTAACGGGAAAGCTGGGAAAGCCCCATGCGGGTCCCTGAAGAGGTCCATCGCGAACAGTGACGAATCCGAAACCTACAAGTCCATCTTCACAAGCCACAGCTCTGCCAAGCGCTCCAAGGAAGAGTCTGCCCACTGGGTCACCCACACATCCTACTGCTTCTAAAGCAGGACCGCAACCCCTCCCCACAGGGCTCCTCCCCTGTGTCCTGTGCCTCGCTGCCTGATGTGGCGCCATGTTATAAAGCTGTCCTCTCCGATCTTAGACCTGTGTGGTCACTCGCCACGAGGTGTGTGGGTCCCAGGGAGGGTGAGGAGCCTTGCAGCGTAACCACAGCCTCCCACAGGCTGTACCTATTGCTTAGCCTGGCGACTCTGCTTATTACATTGAAGTCAGCTCGTTTTCTAAAATTGTAATTGGTCAAGGAAGTAATGACACTGAGTTTAGCTTAGGACAGACTTCCAGCTGTCAGCCCTTGCTCCTGGTGGCTTCTTCTGATACGAGGACATCAAAGGGGAGAATCCAGACACCTGACTGAGTAGTACACAATAAAGCCCTTTCCTCTCGTCTCCTTTCTCCTCCTCTTCCTCTTCTATCTTGGTAAGAAAATGACAGCCATCAGAGTGACAGACAGGAATGACACCTTTTCCACCTTCACAGTTGTCGTTGGAGCCTCTATGAGACTGCTCACGGGAGCAGGGTAGAACTGTGCCTGTGCTGGGCAGATGCCTCACTCAGTAGATAAGCACTTGCCACACACACTTGGGAACTAAAGTTTGGATCCCCAGAACCTTAAGTAGGTGAGCACCGTGGCCTGTGGTCCCAGCCTTTGTATGGCAGAGATGGGCCCACAGGCAAGGTGCCCACAGGCTCAGGGTTGAGGGAGAACCTGTCTCGGTAACCAGAATGCAGTGCAGCTAAGATGCCCAGTGTCAGCCTTGGGCCTCAGTGCTGATGTGGGGTTCCCCCTGTATGCTGTATGCCTGCAAGCGTGCAAACTACAGAAACCCTAAAGCCCCTACTCCCAAACCAAGCGAGGTAGCACTCTGTAATGGAAGCCCTCAGGCTGAGGCAGGAAGGTCACTGAGATGTCAAAGCTGGCCTAGGTTACTTAGCAAGATCTTGCCTTAGGAAACAACCCAAAGACTAGCACCTACCTGCCCCCTGGCCCGGAGGACACTTGAGGTTCGTTCTGGGACAGTGTTAGGAGGGTGTAAACGTGGGCAAACAGGACAGGCTGTGAAATGGACATTGGCAAAGAGAACCTGGGATGTGTGACCTTCATACTTGGAAACTAAACTAAAGATTGTAGAAATACTTGGGAGGTTTTGGATTTTGTTTTTGAGAGAGGGCCTCACCTTAGATCTGAGCTGACTGACCTCACACTGAAAATCTTCCCGACTCAGCATCCCAATTGCTGGATTACAGCATATATCTAACGTGAGGTTTTCACTGAGAATTAACCTGGCCTGAGCATGTGGCTCATGAGGTAGAGTGTCTGCTGGGCACACGCAAAGCCCTGGGTTCCAGCCCCAGCACCTAATAATCTAGGTCTGACAGGCACCTGTCGTTCAGCATTTGGAAGGTGCAGGCAGGTGAATGAGAAGTTCGAGGCTATCCCTAGCAAGTTTTATGCAAGCCTGGAATACATGATACCATGTCTTAAAAAATAATGAATTTTTATTGTGTGCTTTTCCCAAACAAAGCTGAATTAGCCGTTTTATTTCTCTGAATTATTTGTAGTACAGTGAAAAACTATTTTAGAGGGTTTTTTCCTGTTAAATTCTCATAACAGGGCTGGAGAGATGGCTTGGAGGTTAAGAGCACTGGCCACTCTCCCAGTGGTCCTGAGTTCAATTCCCAACAACCACATGATAGCTCATAACCTCTATGAGATCTGGTGCCCTTTTCTGGCCTTGCGGACATACATGCAGGCAGAACACTGTATGCATAATTAATCTTTTTTAAAAAAAATTCTCATAACATTCTCATCATTTGACTAGGGTTTTTTGTTTTGTTTTTGTTTTTTATCAAAAGTGGGCTTTTGATAAAAAGAGGAAGCAGTGTCATTGAAGTAACATTTTTCTCTTATTTTCTCTTATTGTATCTTTACAAAGAAAACAGCCCTTTACACCGCGTTTTATTAATTACAGCCTTTAAGCTGTTTGATGACTTTTGAAAACCACTTTTGCATTTCTCAGCCTTGAAACTTTGGTGTCTCCAGGCCTCTAGCCTCAGAACTTTCCACGGATTTCTTCCTGGGTTCTGTGGCTCCTCCCTTGTCCTGCCCCAGAGGGGACCCTTGAGGTCCCATCCCAGCCTGTGTGGTTAGGACAGGCATGGCCTCCCTGAGGGCAAGATGAGCTCCCCTGTGTGAGAAGCCCTGCTGCACCAGACTGAAGAGCCAGCCCCTCCCTGGGACCCTGGAGCTGAGTTCCACCCTCAGCTCCACCCACCACCCTAGTCCAGGACCTTTGCTGCCTGCCTGGCCTTCCCCTGGTCCTGTGAACACAATGAGGGAAAGGGAATTCTGGGATTCCTCCCCGCAGGTACATGTCAAGGTTTCCAGATAGCTGAAATCCAGCGTGCCAGCCATGGTGAGCCATGTCGTATGGAGCCCATCTGGTGCAAATCAAGCCTATCTTCCCATAAGCTATCACCAAACAGCTACCAAATGCCAGAGCTGACTTCAGAAGCAGGCCCTGCAGACATGAATACCTCACCCCTGCAAAACCTTCACCACAGTGGTTTTCCAGGTCTTGCTCAGGGCCTGCCAAGGCGTAGCCTCCAAACAGGCAGCACTGAACCCCTGGCCCACAGCTGTAAGCGCCAGGGCCATCTACTCCTGAAGACGCTTATAGCTATAAGGATAGGAGCTCCAGGAGCATGCAGCCTAGTTCCTAACACAGCAATAGGGCCTGCATCTCTCTCCAAACCTGAACTGGTAGGAGTCCCACAGAAGCCACAGCTGGGCCCTAGGGGAATGTCCCTGTGGCTCACTTAGCCCCTTGACAGATGAGCCTATAGAACCTGTGTCATGGTTGGAGACAGCGAGAATGTGAGCAGAGAGTCACCGTGTGTGTGTGTGTGTGTGTGTGTGTGTGTGTGTGTGTGTATGCGTGCACATGCATACACACAGGCGCATATGTGAGTACATGGAGACCAGAGGTCAGCCTTGGGTACTGTCCCTCAGATGTGGTCCACTTGGATCATCTCTCACTGGCCCAGAACTCCGCAAGCACTTAGACTGGGTGGCCAGCAAGCCCCGGCTTGTCCTGTCCCTGCCTCCCCAGCCCTGCAATGGTAAGTGCACCCCGGCACCCAGCTTTCTTATCTGGGTGCTAAACTGGGCCCTTATGGTAATGTAGCAAACACTTCACCACTGAGCCATCTCCCAGCCCCTTGGGTGACAGTCATAATGCCGATGGTGCAGGCCAAAGGAAAAATTCATGACCCCTAACTAGCAGTTGCGGCTAGTTATTGTTTCTTACTGGACCCAGCTCCGTGGCGCACATTGTATCCGCTGCCCACCACAATATCTGGATCTAAATGTAACAAAAAATAGATGATGGTCTCTCCTAACAGTGTGCCAAGCTCAGGAAGAAAAAAAAAACATTCTGGCAAGGAGACAGCTTCCTTGTCTTCTAGAAGTTTCTCCTCCCTGGAAGTCCCGCCAGGCAGGTTACTTGCCATGAACCTCAGTCTTCTCAAGCTGAAGGCATCACAATGGCTGGGTTGGTCAGCTCTGTGACATCACCAGGGCCCAACGCTAGGTGCCCAGTCTCTGTGGCACCACGGCAGACAGACCCACCATGAGCTGTTTTCCGCCCAGCCTCTGCTCACCATGCGGACGCTGAGATGGTTCCTGTTTCTGCCTCTGTGCATCTCTTGCACCTGCGCCTTCATATTCTCTTCGCTGAGGGAGAAAGCCAAAGAAAGCCCAGGGAAGGTGCCTTGTGGAGGACATTTCCGGGTTAGACAGAATCTTCCAGAGTACTCCCAAAGCTGGCTTGGGAGCAAATGGCTCTGGCTTTTCTTCGCCATTATGGTATATGTGGTGCTGAAATTTCGAGGAGACAGTGAGAAGGATAAGGTAAATGGGTGCTGGGTCACACCACAGCCGTGGGTCTCAGGAACGCAGGTTCTGTCCCTTGGAGACAGCTAGGTGAATCTGCTTTCTCGATGACGATAGTAGTCACCACATCCACAGAGGATGGGACAGTTTGAGATGGCCCGCTACACAGCTCACAGGGCTTCTGTGAAGTTTTATTTGTTCTCTCAAATTAAGAGTAGATGCAAGAGCTCATGGTGTGTGTTGCAATCAGCCCTGCTTACAGAGCCGGACTCACAGACACGCGCCCTGTGTTTCATGCACATTGCTTTTGATGCATCACAAATTTCTGACCCAAAGGAAATTTTATTTCAAGTGAAGGAAATTCGAGGCCCGTACTAGGATAGAGTAGTGACCCATGTTTCCCACAGTATCTCAGCAGCTCTTCGGGGATCAGAGGGACCTGTTCAGCCCTAGATGAGGCCAACATCTCAAGACACTGGCCAGGGGCTGGGAGATGGCTCGGTCTGAAAAGAGCTTGCCCTGTAACCTTGAGGACCCGAGTTCAATCCACAGCACCCACATAAAAGTCAGGCATGGGGGCACACACCTGTAAACCTAGAGCTGGGGGGGGGGCAGGGACAGAAGGACCCTGTTAGACAGCAAGCCTAGCAGAATTCTGGAGTTCCAGATTCAGTGAGAGACCTTGTCTTAGGAAATAAAGACGTGGTGGAGGAAGACAGCCACCTTCCACACGCATGAACCCGTATACATGTATGACCATACATGCGTCTACTATATACAACACATGACATTCTGGCTAGAGCAGAGGCTGCCTATCAAGGGGCAGCTGGAAATCATTTTCAGCTCTGCAGGCCACATGGTCTCAGTGGCAGCCATATTGTCTCTGCCACTTGAGCCTGACAACAACCATAGCTGGTGTGCAAATAACTGAGCTTGGTTGTGTGCCAATAAAACTTTATTTACACGAACAAGTGGCAGGCCAATTTGATCAGAGTTTGCAAACATCCAGACTAGGTTTGCCGTTGTGTTCCCTCTGAGGAGAGCCTAACTTCTGGAGCGGTGTAGGAGCCATTGGGGCCACTGGGATCATTCACCCTCACTTCTCCCACTTCTCTCTCGACAGGAACAGAATCCTACTGGCCTTCGAAGCTGTAAATTTCGCTCTCCACCGAAGAAAAATCAAAGTATTTCCCCCAGCAAAGATTTCACTTTCAATACTTTAACCCAGCTCGAGATAGAACTGGTGAAATTTGTGTCCAAGGTGCGGAATCTTAAAGTCTCCTTGGCAGCCAGCAGCAGCTCCAGGCTGCATGGCCCAGAGATGTCCATGGACCCGCGCGATAACGTCACGATATATGAGATATGGGGAGAGGAGGACTCTGAGTGAGTGAATGGGACTTTTATCAAAGTGTGAGAGAAGATAAGCCATGTGTTGGCACTGTATCCAAATAATAAAGACTATTCTGAACAAAGAGCCCCCACGTGAGATCCTTCTGCCCCCCCCACCACCACCACCATTTTGGTTTGGGGTTTGTTTTTTTGTTTGATGATTCACTGATTTTTCGAGACAGGGTTTACTCTGTGAAACAGTCCTGGCTGTCTCGGAACCCACTCTGTAGACCAGGCTGACCTTGAATTTACAGAGATCCGCCTGCCTCTGCCTCCCGAGTGCTGGGATTAAAGGCGTGCGCCACCTCTGCCCGGCTTCCCCTTTTGTTAGGACGGCAGGTCCCAGTAGCCCTGGGAGCCATTACTGTTTCCCCTTTCTCCAGTCCTCCACAGTCCCTGCACAAGGGCCTCCTAATGCAGGTCTCTGGGCCTGGGGTCGGCCAGGCTCTGGCGCAGGTGCAGACATCCTGTTCCCATGCACACTTGGTTTCTCTGTACTGTCTGCAAACACCTGGTTCCACATGATTCATTCCAATAGGAGTCGAACTTTGTGGGTTTTTAATGATGGCGATTCAGTCAGGAGAGAGTTCTCGAATCATCTGCTATTCTGACAGAATAATCTTTTTATTCAATTCCATCCCACAGACCTGAGGTGTTGCAAGCTTCTTTTCTTCTTCTAGTAAACTGGTGATGGCTCACGTGATAGCTGGATTTGTAGAGAATAACAGCCTATGTCTTCAGTTCCAACGCTGGGTTAGGGGCCAGCACTTGAACAAGGGTCTCAAGTTGGAGCTCAGTGGGGTAAGTTTAGGGATGCGAGGAGATGCCGTCTGTGACTTTGGGTTTAAGACACAGACAAACTAAACCAGGCTTGTCAAATTAGTCTTTTTTAAATGTACTTCTATGGACATGTTTGTACCTGCTTGTCCGTATGTATACCATAGGCATGCAGGAGCCCTCAGAGGGCAGAAGAGGGCACCAGATCCCCGGGAATGGCAGGTGGTTATGAGCCTCCTTGTGAATGCCCAGCTGAGCCAGCTTTTGCTTACTGTAGCCTCCGGGATGGGAAGACGGGAGGCGCCGGTGCCACCCAGCAGTGAGGTATCCAGGCAGGCAAAGGAATGGTAATCTTGAGAGGGCTAATGGTTTTAATGTCCCGTTCTGGGCAGACTTTAGATGTCCTCCCGCCAATTGCCACAGCCGCCACACCTGCCAAGGTACACAGCTCCTCCGCCAAACCTGGCCGGCCGTCTGGTTTTGTGTGGCTTTGGAAGCTATTCGTTGCCTTTATAGTTTTAAGTGGTTGGGGGAAAAAATCAGAGCAAATAATCCCTTGTGACATGAAAATGACATGTCAGTGTCCAAGCCTTCCACAGAGCCCAGCCACACCGGCTAACTGAAATGCCATTGGTGGCTGCTTCGGTGCCACCAGGGCAGGCAGAATGACGGCAGCAGAATGGAGCCCTTGTCAGAGAGAGCTTGCTCTAACCTGTGCCCCGAGGGTGATGGCGACACAGCTCATCTACAGCCTTCCCCAAGAGGGTTTCAGGAAAGACGCCCTGGTGGAAACAAATGTGGAGAGACATGTCAAGTGGCAGGCGGTGGACAGCCCCTAGGGTCCGAGGGGTCCCCAATTCACAGAAAGAAAACAGGGCTCTCACCACTCAACCGGGGCTGGATCCACCAGGCAGGACCTGGAAGAAGGAGCAGAGCCTTGAGTGACATGCTGATGCTGGTACCTGCTGCAGACTTGGGGACCTTTCATAGGGAACCTCTGACTTGTGGGTAGTCCCCGCCCCCTGAGGGACTGTCGTTGGAAACCATAACATAACAATAGAAAACAAGTCTGATCTCTGGGTACATGCAGCAGGCTGCTTCTGATACATTGCATGGCACATTTAACCCCGCCTTTCTCCCGGTCCTCGAGCCATAGAAATAAATAGTTGAGGACCAAGTATGAGAAACTGTTCCTTGAAGCCAAGGTCACAAACCGCTCAGACGAGTCCTCGACCCACTGCGGTTTGCTCATTGTTCTGAAATATTACAGATCTTGGAGCTGGGCTGCCGCTTGAGCGTTTGCCTGGCATGTGTGAATGTTGGGCTTGATCCCCAGGGCTCTGTTACAGACAGGTGCCACAGAGGGCTACACACAGGCAGGTTCTGTGCGGAAGCACATTCTCATTCCTTGGCAGAGATGCTCAAGGGTACCGGCTGAGTCACATGACTGGACTAGCCTTTGGTTTGGTATATTTGTTTTGCTGTTTTTGAGACAAGGGCTCACTCTGTAGGCCAGGCTGGCCTTGAACTCACCGTGATCTCCCTACCTGCCCCCCAAGTGATGGGACTAAAGATGTGCATGACCACACCTGGCCAGTATAATTTTTTTTTTAAACCTTTGAGCTCATGGTGAGCGTTTTAGAAGCAGTTTCTGTAGCATGAATAATAAAACCCAGAGTCAGATACTGGGGCTCAACCTGAAAGCCAGAAAAGCAAAGCAGCCAGCCACTAACTAGAGAAGTCTTCCCTCTGCCAAGGCTGGGCGACCGCAGCGTAAGCAGCCTAAGCCTCTCTCTCCTCCCATTTTCTATTCCCTCTAGTGCTAGGATTAAAGGTGTGTGACTCCCTAGTACTGGGATTAAAGGTATGAGCCAAAACCACCTTGATTTATTTCTGCACTGATTTTGTGTAGCCCAGGGTGACCTTGAGCTCACAAAGATCCGTCTACCTCTGTCTCCCAAATCCTGGGGTTAAAGGTGTGCGCTACTACTGCCTGGCCTCTAGTGGCTTAGTTATGCTCTCTGATTTTCAGGCAAGCTTTATTTATTAAAACATAAATAAAATACCAGTATAAATTTCACATTATGCTGTAGTGTATTCTCAGGGAAGCAGACAACAAAACAGCCAACAAAGTCTGGTGGTGGAGGTGCACACGTTTAATCCCAGCATTTGGAAGGCAGAAGCAAGTGAATCTCTGTGAGTTCAAGGCCAGCCTAGTCTACAAAGTGAATTCCAGGACAGCCAGGGCTGTTACACAGAGAAACAAACCGTGTCTCAAAAAACCAAAAACCAAAATAACAACAACAACAACAACAACAGAAACCAATAAACAACTATAATATTCAAATTACAATATGCAAATTGCTTTAGTGTCGGAGGTTTTCCATTTGGATTTAAGGCTCTCAGTTTTCTCTCACTGGCCGCAGATATCATCGCGGGCCCCTGTCCCCTCCTGAGAGGCCCCCGGAGGGACTCTGGTCTCCTAGCTCTGAGACCAGTCTCCTCCTGACTATGCTCAGCCAAGCTCGTTTCTGCTGCAGGACTTTTGCACTGCCCCCCCCCCAGGCTTTTCTGCAGCTGACCTGGCTGCCATTCGTCTGTGGGTGGGTTGGGGTGGCTCAGCAGGAGCGTTGAGACTGAGAGTGGAACTCCATGGCTTTCTCTCAGGAAAAGGGGAGCTCTGGGTTGGGGGAGATAGCCAAAGGTCGTGCTAGAGAGAAGCCAACCTCCCTACACTGCCACCCTTTAATACAGTTCCTCGTGTTGTGGTGACTCTCAACCATAAAATTATTTCTGTTGCTACTTCAGAACTGTAATTTCGCTACATTTATGAATATAATGTAAATATTTTGGAGAGAGAGGTTTGCCAATGGGAGGAGGTGCGACCCACAAATTGAGAACCAGAACCGCTGCTCTAAAGGGGGTGTACTCACCTGCGTTCTCACCAGGAGCATGGGAACAGTTGTCTGATCAAGTATGCAGTGTGTCTAAGGCACACAGCAAAGTCCATTATTTCAGAGCCAGAGCATGTGACTTGCAGTTACTTCTACAGCCACTAGGTGGCAGACAAAGCCCACTGAAACTAAGCCGTTTTCAACACCTGTACTGGGGCTTTTACAGGGAGGGAACCCTTCAATTACAATCACGTGATATGTAAACTGAAGCTCACTGTCAGTATTTCAAGTGAATAGAAATCTTGACTTTATTTTGTTATGTTCTGAGATGACGGGACTGAAACTCACTTTGTAGCCCAAATTGCCCCTGGACCTGTGACCCTCCTGCTTCAGCCTCTTGAATGGTAGGTTTATAGGTGTGGGTCACCACACCTGGCTTCCACATTTGTTGGAGGTGAAGGGTTTCAAGCTAATTGGCTGTGTAGCTGAGGAAAGCCTTGAACTCTTGACCATCCCGCCTCCAGCTACCAAGTGCTGGAGTTACGGGCATCTCGCCAGCCAGGCTTTGATAGCTTCATTCACAGCCCACAGTCGTTGGCTCGTTCCCTCAGCGACTGTGGGGGACACAAGGGTGAGGGAAAACTGCAGGAAACTGCTCCTGGGGAAGAGAGTCCGTGAGCAAATGCCAAAGGACTGAAGCGTCACGAGGTCCTGGGTGCCACTCCCTGGGGCCAATCTGAGTGGATAGCGCTTGCCTGGCAGTGCTCAGACCCTGAGATCAGTTTAGAAACATACACGTGTGCGCGTGCGCACACACACACACATGCACACACGTATGCACGCATGTAACCGAATTCTCCACTGACTGTGGTTCTGTGGTAGAGTGCTTGAGGCCAGGAAGTTAGAAGGGACCATGAGAGAGGGGTAAGGGCACTTAAAGGAGGGAGACAGACACACAACTAGAGGAGGACACACAACTAGAGGAGGACACACACACAACTAGAGAAGGACACACAACTAGAGGAGGACACACACACAACTAGAGGAGGACACACACACAACTAGAGGAAGACACACAACTAGAGGAGGACACACACACAACTAGAGGAGGACACACAACTAGAGGAGGACACACAACTAGAGGAGGACACACACACAACTAGAGGAGGACACACAACTAGAGGAGGAAGGGTAGTTAGCAGCAGATACCTTCAATACCAGCACTGAGGAGGGGCCGGCAGGCAGACTCATGAGGACAAAAATGGTTGTTTAAGACAGGGTTTCTCTGTGTAGCCCTGGCTGGCTTGGAACTCACTGTGTAGACCAAGCTGGCCTCAAATGTCAAGATTCGCCTGCCTCTGCTTTCCAAGTGATGTGGCTGAAGGTGTGCCCC